TTCAGATATATTTATGTCAATTCATAACTACTTTATTACCTTCAGCACACACCGAGCAAGGTTCCGAGCAGATTTGCTTGCATCTTGAATGTACACAAGAAACATTACAGAGACTTTTACAAGGTTTACACGATCGACCATCATGACATCTTTCTTTACATATGTGACCTTATGTTAACAAATAGTAAATTTTTAAAAATAAAATTCACGGATTTTTATAATAAAAATGAACAAAACAGAAATATTCATACCACAAAATAAGTTCCTAATACCGTATATAAATAACTACATTAGCTTATAAGTAATAATACATTTAGAAGACTCAATTTCGATAAGTACCTTTCACATCTCTGCATGCATTTTCCGTGCTGCGATCTAATTATTCGACCTTCAGTGTCTAAAGGCGGATTATTTGCAGGCGGATTATTTGGATTCGCTTTCTCAGACAACTCCTGGCAATCATAGCATGTGGACATGCAGATATGTCCACAAAGAAGAAGTTTTTTACATTTTTCTGTACATTCGAAAACATCAGCTGATACATGACACTAATAATAATCAAATATATCAGTCGGCAAATCTTAATAATGATCGAAATAAATGACAATATTTTACCTCCATTAAATGTTCATGTTCACATTTAGGCAACCTTCTTAAAACCATTTCACGACAACGGAGTCTCTCTTTATTTTTATTATCGTTACACTGTATTTAAATTAAAAAAAATAACGTCAAAATCAAATAATCTCAAACTTTAAAGATTTTTATTATATTCTCCCAACCTTGGCATTTTTATATTCATGTCCACATGGTAATGCAATGTTTTCAATCGGCCAATAACATTTGCCACAATCTTCTCCACACATTTTATCTCTACATGGATGCCCACAATCTGGATGTAATCTCGTGCAATCTTTTCTGCAAAAAACACCAATGTGTTGCGGATCATCCGAATGACATTTATATGGACCTGTAATTACAAATAATTTAATAACTACAATTGTGTAAAAATAACAAAAATCCAATGTACTCACATGTATGCCCGCACTTTAACTGTTGTTGACCTATGAAATTTGTAACGCGAAAAAA